TGACTCTGCATTATTCATACCAAATCATAAACTTACTTTCTGGAAATGCTTCTGTACTTTTTGTCTCCTATCATTAGTGTGTTCTACCCATAGTCTGACATGCTATGTGGATCCCTTACAGAAATCCAGGAGTTTTTAGATGGGATGAAGGCCTATGTTCTGTTTCTGAGAGTCTGATAATGCAGGAAGACAGTTTGTAAGGGAGAATCCAAGAATTTGGTGGCCATATAGTTCCTTGACATGAATGATGGCCAACAGCATCTAGCACTGTGTTGATTGATAACCTGGAGCAAATTCAGCAGGCGACTGGGGGATCCAGCTCTTGCCCTGCAAGGAGATGCTGAAGGCTTGTTCAGCCTAGGGAAGAGACAACTTCAAGGATACTTAAGAGCAGGTGCCACTCATCTAGGGGATGGTTATTGAGAAGAGAGAGCCAAGCTTTGGGAGGACAAAAGACAGAACACATAACTTGAAACAAGAGAGGTTTACAGAAAAGTTTTTCACCATTAGGACAAGCACTAGTGTAGATTTCCCAGAGAGGTCGTGCAGTCCTTGGAGGCTTTTAAAGACCTAAATTGATAAATCCCTGAGCAACCTGTTCCAGACATACAGTTGTCTCTCCTTTGAACAGGAGGTTTCCTAAGTTTCCTTCCAACCTGAATTATCCTGTGGTTTGGTGAGTCTATGTCTCTGTCTGCACTCAGTCTGATTGGTTTTCGCAAAAACAGACAGGAATTAATGGATGAAGCAAGCAGCCCTCACAACACGACCAGGGTATGAGCAAGCATCCTACAGGGAACCTGGACTGCAATCTTCTTTGGATCAGAAAATTCTACATTTCTTGTTCTTATCTGCCACAAATAGGTTCACTGACAAGTAATCCTTCTCCTCAAAGATCAATTGAATCAATGAATGAATCATGAATTGCCCACTTTGTTCCACTTTCCTCTGCTGAAAAAAGTCTGTGCTGATTTCTTGCCAATATATTTTGTTGTCCCAATAGATAAACTGCTGCAGACATAATCTGATGTTTGCATCAGTTCCATAACCAATTTTATAATTGTCTCTTGCGCAGAAAAGTACTCCTCCCTCCCAGTTTATATGAACTGAAGCTCTTGTATTATCTGTCAGGAGGTGAACAGGCACTTTATAAAAGAGTAGTTAGACATCCAAAGAAGAACTGAACTGCATTGAGTTCTATGCTATTTATGTGTAAGCATAACATACATTTAATTATATGTGAACTCACCAAACAAATATGTGTCACTGTAGGTTTTATTAAAAAAAAAAGAAAGGGGAACAACACTTTTTTATTAAATCGAGAAGGAAAACTGCCCACAGAACTGTTGTAGAATATACAGTCTATTACCTAAATTTTCTGCCAGCATGCAATGTCCAAAATGTGGAAATTGCTGAACGGCCTCATGAAGAAAAACAATTTCTTCTAAGTGCTGCTTGGGACAGTGCCTGAGATGGAGAGCTAAATGAACATGTAAAGTCCATCCTGAATGATGGTCTTTCTTATTATCTAGCTAGCTTATTATTATCTCAGATGCAGAAACAGCTTTTCTTTTTTTTTTTTTTTTTAGTGACATTAAAATGGAATTCTTCGTTCTGACATTTCACCTGAAAGCCATGTACAGGTTAAGAATAATGTGAGGTTCTGAAGCCACTAACAAGTTAGTGGTCCAATTACAGATTTTGTATAAGCTTTGTTTTCTTAAGAATGAAGCTATTATACAGAAAGCATTGAAAATACCTCAGTTATATGAACAGTCTGAGAAGAAGAACTCAGTCCTGGAAGCAGTTTTGACTTGTAAGAAATCAAGGAAATTATGAAAGAATAGTCATATAAAAATATCTTGCTTTCACATATAGGAAAATTTCTGAACTTGAATCTTATTGTGTTGAGGAAGAACATCTGTATTGATGAGAAAGAGAGAGAGGGAGAAAAATGGATGGAGGCAGAGGCTTATGGGAGGCACCTAGCTATAGATGAGAAGGCAGTATTAGCAAAGAGTAAGTTTTAAATGACTCCCATTTTCTTTCACCCAAGTGGGGAAAAAAAAGTTTCCAAAGTTTTGCAAGAAGGAAATATCCAAAAGAGCAGTCATTTCATAGCTCTTGATGATTCTATCTTGTCTTCCCACAGATTTTTGCTACAACCATATAAATGCTGGTAAATCCAGATAAGCTTTTCTGAAAATGCTGCCAATTATTAAGGCAGCCAGTAAACTTCATGGAGTGGAAAGTTGGATTTGCTTATTTCAAATCATTCTTTGATCACATAGACCTTTTCTCCTACAAATATGTGTACACACTCAAAGAGTACAATGTAAATGAAAATTCCTAAAGGACAAAATCACTCTTCTCAGGTGTTGAATTGGAGGGTACAGCAGTAATTCCTGTTATCAGGGAAGGGGGACCGGTAGGGCTTGCTTTTCCTTGCTTCCTGGAGAGGCTGGAATCCCAAACTAGTGCTGAGTCAAGAGTAATGCTGGCTGAGACGCTGCAAAGGTAGCAGATGGAATTGCTTGTAGAGAAGTCCTTGCTATTTACCTTTTATCCATGAATGCTAAAAATTGAAAATTGCATTTCAGCTAATCACTCAGTAAAGTGATTAGCTTGTAATATGAGCAATTTGTGTTAGCAGTAACCAAAGATTCTGAAATATAGACTCTGTAGGTATTCTTATTTTCAAAAATCTGATAGATCCAAGGGTTTTGAATGTATTTTTGAATGAGAACAACACTGTCTTCTACCTAGCAGTTGCTCCTAGGTAACTTGCCCTTGCTGTGTAAATACAAACACATTATTCTCTTCTAGACAATAAAAGTGTCTTTTGTCCTTTGGTTTTCTTTCTCATTAGATATTTTCAGATATGATAACTCTCCAGAGATGGAAGCTGAACCTAAGCAGTCTACTTTTAAATCAATTTCTGTTTATGCAAAGATGCAAGTGTGCTCTGTTCTTGGTAGAAAATACCATAGCATTTCTAGAATACTGAAAAAATCGGGTCCCCAGAGACAGTCACAGATCACGGTGCATGCAAATAATGTGCATGTACTCATGAGATCAAAGGGGAATCTGCATTTTCCATGATGTGGGATCCTATATACCTCATTAGAATTAATATTAGGTGAAATAGAGTTGAGGAAGTTTTCAATACTGATAATTTTCCCAGGGTGACAAAGTAATAGCAGTAATACTTTAATCTGTAGTACCACAAAGAAGCCAAAACTGAGTGTACTTCTAACGAATTTCAAATATTAGCACTTACTGTTTAACGTGTGACTGTTTAACGTGTAACCTGTGGTTAAAAGAGCTGCTGAAAATCCGTGGATGGTCAATTATCTGTGGTTAAAAGAGCTGCTGAAAATCCTCAGAAACTACACATTTTTATAGGGTACTAACTCAATTTCTGTGACCAGAATGACCAAACAACACAGTTTTAAGGTTCTTTTCTTAAGAAAAAAAGCTATACATTTGCGCTATGTGTCCATTATTCAATCTGCAGGTAGCAATTTCTACAATTTTGGCCAATATTAACTCCTTCAGACTGCGCTGAAGTAGTTTCAATAACTAATAGATGTATAATGTAAAACATCATTTTGGTAGACATGAATTTAGTGATCCAACTGAAGAAAATATATCAGATAAGCTCAATAATTATTTGTCTAATTTGGCATGCCATTAGGTCCCCAGAACACAGAAAGGGCCGGGCAGTGTGTCAGCCAGCACATCGGTTCATTCTTGAGTCAGTCACAATATTTGTTGCTATGACTCAGCTGCTAATAGCAGGGATTAAAAGAAAAACAGAGGCAATGTGGAAGGTGTTTTTAAGAGGTGTTGATTATAGGGAAAGGATGAACTAGAAATACAATGTAGGTCGGCCCAGGGGGAACAGGAAGATCAAATGAGATTACTGCTAATATCGGGTAGAGGGGCAGAGGGCGTGCAGTTGTAAAAAACAGGACACAGACTCATGAGAAGTCAGATTTGTTGCTTAAAATGAAGTATCTGCCTCACTATCAAGATATTTTTTTTTACTACAGACAAAATATTCATAAACTACACAGAACATATTTGCAGAAAATACTCAGAAATGCTTTACATAAAAAACAAATCCCTCATGATTTATTAATAAAATTAATCTTGATAATCTTCCTGAAATATTTTTTAATTTATTACCTCTATTTCTGCCATGGAACAAGAAAGCTGCCTATGCATAGATATGATTCTCTTGCTATGAGATGATAGTCACTTCTACCTGTAGGACTGTATGCTTTTTATATGAGTGCTATGTAATGGAAATCAACTATACTTATTTTGATTGGTAAGGAAGAGGAAGGGTGAATCAGATGATTGTTTGGCCAGTTTTAAGGCCTATCAACTTTCCTTAAAATTATTTTCTGCCATAATAGCTTCAATAAATTGCCTGATTATTTACCTGGTCAGAAAAACTGGTGCTGGAAAAAAATGTTTGTTCCTATTCTTTTTGAAAATTCATTGTTGTCTATTTTTGGTGGGCTACACCAGAAAAGTTCATTTCTTATTTTATGTCAGTTTCTACCTACACCTTTTCTAACCTAAGAATAAGGTTTATCTGGCCGTGGATTGAGGTCTTCTCCAGGCCTAGATTTCAAAATGTGATTTTCCAGTGATTTTTCCAGTTCCCTGGGGGCCAGGTATCTGTATTACAAACAACTCAGGCATTCTTGTCAACCTCAGCATAGCCCTAAAACCTGGGAGGGGAACAAGTCACTCTGTGACAGAGCAGAGTTGTATTGACATACGGACCGTGCAGTCAATGTCAGACATACTCCTACCAGGGCTGGGGTTTACATAGCTGAGACTGGCACTTTTCACCAACGATTTATACACTTGAAAACAAAAAACATGCAAAAAAAAAAAAAAAAGCTCCCCTTCTCCAAACACATGGAAACAAATTTTCCCCAGAGCACAGACAGACTGAATGAGGAAAGTAGCTGAGAGGTTACCGGTGCAGTTCTTCTGGAAGTTGGGGTTCTCCAACGGATGCCCCGGAATACGGCACTGGAATCTGTGCTGCCAGAACTCGGGGAACCAGGGGTTGCGTGTGTTTGTGTCCAGACGCAACTTCAGATAGTAGTCGTCAAATGACAAAACTTCTGGAGACTGCAGTTTGATAGTGATGCCTCCATTGGCTTCAGGTTCATAACCTTCAATGACTTCATCCCTGTCTGCCCAGCCATCACTGGAAAGAGGAAAAACCTGTTACACAGAGACAGGAAGCTCACTTTGAAAAAGTAGCTAGGCAAAGGCAAGCCAGCACCCTCAGAAATGTCATTACAAGGAAATCTAAAACAAATTCCAGACAAATTTAAAATTCAGGCAAAGAGGGAAAGAAGAAAGAATAGTAATAGAGGCTGTTGTATGAGCAATTCTGGCTGATTTTACATCGAGCCTGCATTAGCAATTTTGAAATGAAGAAGACCCATCTTTGTCCCCCTGGAGAGGAGTTCTGGACATGACATAGTGTCTTTATGACTGAGGAGATTCTGCCTTATTCAGAGGCAGACTGTATTCTCCTGCAAAGGGTAGAAACTGGAAGAATTAATATTGATAGAAAGGAAACCGAACCAGAATTCTAGGTATTCTAAAGAAGACATCTCTGCGTACATGCATCTTACAGCAGAAGAGTAATTCAAATCAAACATGATCTTAGAAATGCATCTTGTTGGGGAAAATGCAATTAGAATACTTGATAAAACCAAATAGACAAAAAGAAAACCACATGCTATTCTTACATCATAAGGGATCTGTGAAAACATGCTGTTCGTTTGTTTGCTTGTTTTACTGACCAATGCCTTTCTATTGTACTTTTCTGTTCATTTGTTTACTCTGTTGCCAATTTAAGCCATGCCAAAGCACAGAGTCAGTCTTACAGATTTGAAGATAAAAATAATTTCTGAGGATATTAGTTGATGGAATTTCTATTTTAAAAGGCTTTGGGTTTAGCATCCACATTTTAGTTTAGTTCTCTTAACTAGAAGTCCATTTATTTAGTGTCATTATCCAATTCTTTTAAGGTTTCCTAAGTGCAGTGGTATTACAGTCTGATTTAAGTACAAGTATAAATCATGATTAATTCTATGATTAATTCTAATATGATGGTCATATCATGAGAGAAATAATAGTTTATTTTGGTTCTCTGATCTATCTATATCCATTCATAATCAAACTGGTAGCAGTGCTGCTGTGAAAAGCAGACAGAAATACTGAAGTACTTCAGCTATTTAAATTTCACATAGTTCAAGTCACAAACTAGCAAAAATTATCAAAAGACATAATATTTACTTGTTCTGTGTGTGGGGAAAAACAGCAAGAGGTCAGTTGAAGAATAATTAACTGTCTTGTAATTGCATGATTACTTCACCTGATGTCACAACGTTTATGCCTTGCGGACTGTAGAATCAAGCAGCAACATTAGTGAGTCAAAAAGATTAAGTAAATCGGGTCATTTTTTACAAGACTTTCTGGAAAGGAGGTAGTTTCTCTAGTGCTGAGATTCCTATCAGGCAGCCATTAGAATGATTTATTTCCTCTCCTCTGTGAGTTTGGCTTGGAAGATTGCCACATTAACTCCGAAAATGAAGAAGAGCTTTTCTGCAAAGGTGAAAAAAATGTATCTCAAGCTCTTACAGTGCAGCTGGTGAAAAAGCATGTCTAAATTGGAACATAGACTGTCTTCTCATGTTTCTTTGGCTCCTTATAGCCCACGAATGCTGTTTTTTAGCTTGTTTGTTCTCTCTTCACCTTCCTAAAATTATTAAAACTGCCTGCAAAGTCATGTGCCCAACCAAATGTGAAGGAAAGACACTGGAATCAGAATATGGTAACTTTGCTTTACTTCCAGTAAAGTCAAGGGGCCAAGAAGAGTCTCTCTCTGATTTCCTAGGGGACTGTCCCAGTAGCTGCAAATTCTTGCCAGTGCTTAAAGTTGCCCTAGGGAACCTGGAGCAGCTTAACAAGCAGTGGTAGGAGAACAATTATCAGAAACCCAAGATCTTTTTATAATCTCTGACAACATTTCTTTTTACTCTGTGGAAAAACATTGCCTGAACAACGCGCATCATTAGTGCTGTATGAATAAATGAATAGCATGCCAGAAGACAGTGTTAAAAATTTTGACGTTTCTAACGAAGAGCAACACCGTGATACTAAAGGCCAGATGACAGTATGCACATCAGTGATACTATCATAAAACCAACAGCTGATACAAAGGTAAAAATGAAATCTCATTAAAAGGCAGTGCATACTATTCTTTTATTGTGAGAACCTAGTGTTTTCCACCTACTTTCCCTTTTTTTATCCTGCTGAGTGGCAAGTAAAGCTGAATGTTGCCTGTGCATTTCTCTCATGTGCCTGTAGTACAGATTCCAGGAACTCCTGGCTGAAATAGCAGAGCTGCTTACAGGCAAGACAAGGTGACCCAGCACAGTCTAGGTTTGGAGCACGGCCAGCGCTTCAAAGTATTATTAGGCCGGTATCAACCACGACCCGGTTGAGCTGAAGCTCTTTGGGGGTGTTTATAATGTGAAGACAGAAGCAGTGAGGGAGGGACAAGTGCGTTGGCATCAAACCAGCCACTGTACACTGCTAGCACAGAAAGAACCACCTGCTTTTGATACAGTTTGTGGTGTTCATCGTGCTCAAAGTGGTCACCAATTTTCTGCAAGCTACTCTCAGTTTAAGCCCAGTCTGGTGGCTGAGCTTACAAAGGCAAACTCAAATGCCAGCACTCAATCACAAGCAGTAATCAGGCAAAAGGGCAAAAACCCCAGGGTGGCCCATCCATCTTCAGATTTCCTATTTCCCATTAGCACAGACTGAGTTTGAAGAAATTAAGTGATTTCTTAACCAATTTACTCTCCTGATGATGAATATTATACCGGACATTTCTGAACTGTAGCGAAAAAACTCACTATATTTTTTGAACACATACATTCTTGTGACCAAAATACCAGTTAAAATATAATGGATTCCAATTTCCTCTCCTCTCCCGAACATGAACACTGTCAGCTGCTTTTCACAAGGGCTGATGAGACAACCAGCAATCAAGCAGTCTATTTTCATCTCTTCAGGACTTTAACTCTAAATGGTACAGTTACAGTTCTACTCTGCTTCTCAGTACAACATTCAGGTCATTGCTTTTCCAGATGTTTATTTCCAAACAGGCAAACAAGCAAGAAAGAGACAACATTTACATGTTTATGAAGAACACTTGGAAGCTGTGATTTTTGTGGCAGATATCATTCCTTCACAGTTAAAGAAAATGAAACATGTTTGTCAGCCCGGAAAACTGCAAGTGGCAATTTGATCTTTGCACCCTTACAAGGCATGGCACAATATCATAAGGGCAAACTGATTTAGATATCTGTGTCTGAAGGTCTGCCTCATCAGTAGCTCTATCAAAGCCCTCAGCATTAGCAAATACAATGTTCTTATGATATTTGCATTGGTGATTACACTTTTTTTTTTCCTTGCTATGCTAGTCAAAACACAAAAAAACACATAAAAGAAATGAAGAGTAAAAAGCCTTTTATAAATGCTGCACGAATTTCTTTTGCAATAGTCCTTCTACCTAGAACAGATGTTATTATTGTAAAGCTAAATAAATCAGTCACACTAAAATAGTTTCATCTCTTTTTGTATGGGTTCTATTCCAGTGCTAGGGGATATTTTTCTCTCACTTTTATAAAAAGTGTTACATGCAATTATTAGGAATCAGAAAATTAAATTAGGAATATTAGTTTCTGGCTTCCAAGAACTGCTGCACAGAAGTTCCCTGCAGATGTGCAGTCCTGCTCAGGTGAATCAGGTGAATGGCTTTTCTCTCCCTTCCACAAAACTAAAGCACATGTCAATATACGTTGCTTCCGCTCCCACAGAGCATGTTTCTGGATGCCTTCTTGTCATTGCTCTCAAGCCTGCCAGCTGGCCTGCTGTGATATGAAACTTCTAATAGATTTAAATATGAGGACAGCATCGCTCAAAAACATCAACAATTGATAATGTGCCAAGACCATTCTGCTATTTATGTCAGTATCTTTACTTTAAAGCAAAATGATTATACTCAGGAATATTTTTACATTTTCTTTGGAAAGTGCCCTTTTGCAGAACCACTCTTCTGGGTGGCGATCAGACACTGCTTACTGGGAGACATTTCAAAATGCTACAAATCCCAAAGTAGTGATAAGTGGAGTTCAAATAGTCTGCAGCTTGGTTCTGATAAATGCCAATGTTCTGGATAGCCGGTCAGAGCAGAAAACCTGCTACTTTTGTTTCTCTAGCTGCTTATAAAAATTTTGCTCTGATAGAGCCCAACTGGCAAATCCATCACAGATTCTCATACCTGCCTGCAGGAATACAATTTTAATGGCCTCATCAGTGCTATTCTGACAGAATTCGGAGCCCAGCATGAGACTAATCCAGAAAGTACCAGGATGTCAGGTGAGATCACTTAATAGGCAGCTCCACCAAAAAAAAAAAAAGTTATTGTATCTTATTGCTACTTGATATGAGCAAGGGTAGTAGAATCAGACTCTGAGTAATCTGCAAAAATCCACTCTGAGTGGCTGCTCGGAGATTGTCTTCTGACAGTAGATTTAAAAAAAAATCCTTATTTCATCAGGCTGGTATAATGAAAAGAGAAAACAATACTAGCTCATGGTGAAAGAGGATGGAAACAATTATCTGGCAAAGAACACTATCAAAAATATACAGTGCCTATGCTACACACCAAAGTCCGCATGGAAAGAAAAGGGAGACTGCCCAGAATTCATGTGTCTGCAACTGGCAAAGAGGAAATTGAATAATGCTGAAAAATATTGTCAATGAATACTAAATCAAAACTAAAAACACAAAAGACCACTCATTTTTGCATTCAGCTAAATCACTGGTACAGTATACTTGCCTTGAAGAGTGTGACAGCGTTCCTCAGTTCCAAACCCATAAGTGTTACCTCTATATGTGTGAATAATCCTGGTTATCTTATTAAAATTAGTCTCCTGAATAAATTTAAAGCTGCATTTCACTGCTGGCAATGCCAGGCGAGAAGGCTGCATGTTGTCATGCTGTGGCCAGGGGTTTGCAGAGCACTGACTGATCTTCTCAAAACTAGAAGACTCAGAATGAGGAGTTTACCAAGTCCTGTCAGCTGAAAGAGAAATGGTGTAAACAGGCCCCATTGCC